ACTCTCAACGTTTCATTTAGTCCATCGCTAATTATATAGGCATCGTTTGTTTGAGTTCGTCTATATCTTTTTATTGTTATCGGATTTTTAGGTTAAACAATAGGTACATTAGTGAAAATGCGTTTGAAGTGGTTCATAGCTAGACTCTGAAAGCCGTACCGTGATTGATCAAAAAAGTGGAGAGTGATAAGGATTCAACTAATTTGTACAGTATCGCTATAAGATCTGCATCAAGAGCCATGCTTGATCTGCATGTTATAAAATATATAAATTCCCTTTATTTCCCGTTGTATATCACGGCGCTGGTAATGCCTTGTACACTCATTTCGGATTAGGTAATCTAACTTAATTCAATCAGCTCTAATGCACTCTCCGATACTAAAGATCATCAATTCTGTACAAGTACTTTGAATTGACTCATTACCGGCCTTTAGCGCGAGATATCTAGTGGAGAATATAACTTACTGGAAGCAATACACAGTCGTTAGTCCAGCAGAGGCTCGCGGGCAAATTATACAGTTTAGACATATGATGATACAGTATATAGCAAGTTAAGCTATTAGCTCATTTAAAGAAAGATTGGTGAAGAAGTGAGTATAATACATCTTTCTTAGCTGATGCTAAGCTCTGAAACAAATGAAAATTAAAACATATTTGCATAATTTAAAGCCAAAGCAAACGAAGTATTATGTATTTTTTTAGTGGAATAAATGCAATGATATTATAATTTGCACATATGGTTCAAGCATGGTAAGCCTGATTCATTCAGAATTTCAAGAGCCTGGTTTTAGTCTGGTTTTCCTGGTTTGAATAATAACCTAAGGCTTGCCAACCTTACCAATAATACCGTGGTTAACCAGGCTTTTTGCACATATGGTAAAGTCTGGTAAGCCTGGTTTGACAACCGGAAAAGTGTGGTTGGTTAAACCTGAAGCTTCCACCCTGGTAAGGGACGCGGGAAACCTCAAACAGGAATTTAGGAAGAATCATCAGATTTAAGTGAACAAGATGTAACCCTTCTCTAATTCAGAACGCTCTTTCCTTCTCTTGATTTAGTCCTCAGACTATCTATTTCCTTTTCCTAATCTATGACGTTAACGAACAGGGCATGATTTTTTCTACGAAGGGTATTTTTTCAAAGAAGAATGACTGTTTAAGCGCAAAACTAAAATGAAGGAACTCACCATTTTTGTTGACTTTCGCACCAATTTCCAGGCTTTGATTGAAAACTAGGAAAATAATAGCAAGAAAAACTAGCCTTTTCTTACAGGGCATTTTCTTTGTCAGCAGAATTTCAATTGATGAATTTCCCTTGTTTTCAAAAATAACTTGGGTGGGAAAAAATTATACATCCTTATATAATTTTATTTAATAATAGTATTTGTCAAAGGTGTATTTTCAAGTGATTTTCACAGACTTTTTTGTATTGGTTAGTGATTGACCCAATCACATTGCGGCGGTTGCAGCTTTTTAAGACGCACGGCCCAAGCTTCCGCCTCTGCAGCTGGTTTTTAATTGATAAAACAATGAAAGGAACAATTTAAAAGAAAGGGTGTTAACAAGGAAATTGGTGCGGTAACATTTAATGGCGCGGTTTTATCAGCCGATCAATGTCGAGTGCTTCATCGCCCTCTGTTAATTCTCTCACTTAGCTGTTTTGTTATGCCGAGTGTTTATTCATGAGAATTTCCACCTAAATTAAACGATGAAGTGCCGAATACTTTCTAGGAAGAGTATTAAAATTAAAATTTATAGGGACTTAGTATGTAATTGAAACAGGAGATTTTACTCCTTTATAATTCGTGATTGTTAAAAATTTTATGTTGGGTTTGCGACTCGTTACAAATAATCCAAGGTCAGGTCTAGTTTCTCAATAACTACAAGTACAACAAAACTCTGAAGTAAATATTTCCTTTATCATTTTATTATTTTATTACCTCCAGAGAAAATTATTACAATTAAGGTATTTTGCTATGCACCCCCGGCCAGATACAAATTTTAATGCTGTTGTCGCCTTTCATTTCTTTAATTATATTTGAAATTAAACTAACGCTGTTGTTTTCAATTTCATTGTAATTCCTGTCAAGATAAAGAAAGAATCTGTCAAAAGAAAAAAAAATCCATAAGGTCAATTGTTATTACTTGAACATAAACGGTCTGTACCAGCCGCCAGGAACTATTAAGATACTGATTTGCGTATCGGAGTTAAAAAGGTCCACATATAACTGTTCAAAACTTGCAGAAGAGTCTGCATCTCCATTTTCTCGTAAAACATGGTTCTTCTTTTATTTACTGAAAAAGATTTTGCTAAACTGATCCGAGCATTTAACTCATTAGTTCATAGTCTTTTTTCGGTCAGTAGTCAAGATCAATTTCTAAACCCAATTAGACTGCTTACCTTTTTTTTTACTTATAAGCAAACATTGAGCACTGCACTGCCATAAGAGGACAAATAGAGTTGGGCTCTGAATTTCTCCAGTTATGTTCTTTGTCAAACAAGTACTTAAAATACATTAACCTTGTTTCATGAGTCAAACCCTTCATTTAAAGAGTAGCTATCGAATCGAGAAGGAAAAAAAAAAAGAGAAGAAGAACAGGAATGATAAACTATGATATATACAAACGTAAAAATAAAAGGAGAGTAACTAGTCATTACGCATGTTGCTAAAAGCGACAGTTTTGCTGATGTGAGTTTTCTAGCGCACTATAATTTTGATTCAAGTTTCCACACATTTGTTGAAGCATATTATATATCTAAGGGGATGAATGAAATCCATGAGTTGTTGATGTGTCTAGGGTACGTATGGAAGCGCAATGTTGTTTGTTCCCTTATGTTATAATAAAATACAACGATCCAGAGGTAGCACTTCACAAAGTGATTTCTCATTAACCATTCCTTGTCTAATTGGAATTGATTTTGAGCCGATGCTGGGGAGAAAAATATGATCTGATTAGTACCGGAAGGAAAACTTCTTAGAGCAAAGGATTGTGGAGAGAAGCAACAACAATTCAACCCACCTATGGCGCGGTGTCGACGCGTATTTGCAGTATTTGAGCCCGGGCTACCTTTGTGGAAGGCGAGTGCTCTCACCACTGCGTACCTCTTGCTTCCCTTAAGCGTAGTAAATAGACCACTCAGATAAGTAGATTCTATATTTAACAATTATTCCTCGAGCCTGAATGGGCTATTGACTCAGAGGCCATGAGGGCGAGAGGAATAATTGTTTTAGTAAAATCCAACTAGTTGGTCAAAAATATCGAGAATAAAAAAATTTTAGCTACTTAAAGCTAGACTTTAATCCTTTTTTGCCACCAAAAAGCCCGCGCTTTTCGCTACTAGTAGGCTATAACATTTTTAACCTTAAGGTGTTTATAACATATAGCCTAGTAGTAGCTCAACCAATCAGAACGCAGCATTGATAATAGACCACTAGTTGGATTTTACTAAAGGGCAAATATCCCCCACAGCTTAGTTTTGACAGTTACTGCGCTGCCACATAGTCGTTCAACACATTTCACACTGGAGGGGACAGTATCTGCTCATAAAGTCTTTATTTTTCTTCCTCTTGCAAAACGCTTTAAACCTCACGCAGAATGTATGTGAACCAATGTTGAAACAAGCTGTTAAGACATAAAGAGAAACAGTAGTGTAAGCAGTGTACCGAAGGTGCACGGCTTAAAATTAACCGAACATGCGTCCAGTGATCAAAAAAACCTGACGCTAAGACACTGTATGAGTATTTCCGAAGACTATCGAATACGAAGTCTCGATGATTGCCGATTAATTGATGAGATGCCCTTGTTTACTGCCTTACAATAATTATATCAATAACCTTGAAACTAAAATGTCATATAAAAGGACGGTTTACTGAAGAATCTTAATTTTTTTAAAAATCTGTCGAGCGGTTTAAAAGTAACTCGACACTTATTTGTTAAAGTAGACCGAAATCTTTACAAAACCTCCAACAAGTAAGAGCACCTCGATACATACCAATCAAATCCTTCTTTCTAGCAATCGGCTGGAGTTATCTCCATGATCTTTCACACACGTTTTTACAAAGATTGAAACTACTTGTTTTCTACAACAGCCAAACATCTTGATTGTTTATTTTTTACCGTATTTCTAACCATACTTCATTCCAAAATATCTCGATAACGCTGTTAGACATTTCGTTTTTTTAACTCACTTACGAAAATCGAGGCGGCTATTAGAGAGAAAAGGTTTCCGTGAACGATTTTGGAAGAACAGTTCCCAGTGCTAAGAAATACTGCTGTAAGTAAAATAGGTAATGGTGTCATTTCGCTGCGATGACAACTCCGATGTCATTGCAACCCTGATGGTATTCATCTTTATCTAATACAATTGTGGGGGCAATTTTTCCAAATCTTTGTTTATAGTGACGTCAGTTTTACGCTAAAACTTGGGAGGTATTGACCCTGAAAAACTTTATCGGTTCACCTTAAAGCGACCATAGCAATGCCATTCCGATGAAGTTTTACAATGTTGGTAGCACGCGGACGGGAAAGAAATCTGCCAAAAAATGTGCTGCGCGTTCAGAGTTTTAATTTTTCTTAACAAACCTGCTAATCTTTTAAAACTTTTCTCATTTCCGTCGTCACCGTGGCTGCTCACGCTTGCAAGTAGCGTTACGACACGCAAAACAGTTCTTGATATTCGACGATTATGTTGGAAAAATCGACGATTTGATGGAAACAAAAACTACTTCCTTATAGAGAGCCTCTGTGCTAGTGAATATTGAGAGAAAGTGGCCGGAGAATTCATTCGGAGCAGAATGGAATGAAGAATTGCGTCAAACGCCCATTGGTGAGGGTTCTCAAGTCCCTGTCCAGGGACATGCGTGGTAATAGTTGACGCCACCATAGACTCCGTCAATTTTCCTGGCACACTTAGAAGAGAAATGGGCCTGTAATTATGTTTATCAGTTTCATCGTCACTTTTATAGGAAGCTGAAATGTTTGCAGCCTTTCTCTGCCTCACCTCTATGCTGTTCGTCACGAGGACCATCATAAGCTAACCATCCTGATTCTGAAAAAGCAGAAGGCAGTTTAAGCTCAGGTACAACGCACACATACACGACATACACGATCAGCAGTTTAATCTTGCTGATATCTAGTTGCATGTTATCTGCTGAGAGGCTGAAAATTAAAATATTAAAAAGTATAATTATGATTTTCGTGTAGCGGACCATCATAAGCTAACAATTCTGAGTGATTCTGAGTCTGAAAAAAAAAAAGGCAGTTTAAGCTGGCGACGCAACTCATACATTGTACATACACAACAAGCAGTTTAAATTTGCTGGTATCCAGTTGTATCCAATCCGATAAAATATCGAGAACATATTCTGACATCCGCCTATGAGCTTGGTTACAAATATTATGATACAAATGGAAAGTAATCACAGCTCGAGTTAATTTTAACCGATAATGAAAACTCAGTGAGACTAAAGTAATAAAAACAGCTTCGGGGCAAAGTTGGCATCATATCACCATCCAAGTGAATGTTATCTGGTCAGCCTATCACTGGAACAGCCTTGAACAAGACGATAGATATATAATATAACATGAAATATAATGTAAAATAGAGGACACTGTTTTTAACACCTTCTTGACAACCTTCAGTAGAAAAGTACATCTATCTGGAGGTCTGGGTTTTTGAATCTGAAGGCTTATGATTTACACACTCATAAAAAGATATTCAAGAGCGCAGTTACCTTCTGCGTAAGTATCTTCCAGTACCTTTGCATCGGTTCTTGGACTAAAGAGAAAATATAAAAGAGCAACAAGAAAATACATAAGCAGCTTTTGAGAGGGCATGTTTCCCATTTGACTGAAAATCTTTAGATGGGGCCTCTCTCTTTACTCTAAACGTTTTATTTAGTCCGTCACCATTTATATAGGCATCGTTTGTTTGAGTTCGTCTATATCTTTTTATTGTTATCAGATTTTTAGGTTAAACAATAGGCACATTAGTGAAAATGCTTTTAAAGTGGTTGATAGCTAGACTGAAAGCCGTACCGGCTCGATGATTGATTCAAAAAGTGAAGAGAGAAAAGGATTCAACTAATTTGTAGAGTAAAGCATCGCTATAAGATCTGCATGTTATAAAATATATAAATTCCCTTTATTTCCCTTTATAATATCTCGGCGGTGGTAATGCCTTGTATACTCATTTCGGATTAGGTAATCCAACTTAATTCGATCATCTCTAATGCACTCTCCGATACTAGTGATCATCAATTCTGTACAAGTACTTTGAATTGACCCAACCGGCTTTTAGCGAGAGATATCTGGTGGAGAATAACTTACTTTTTTTTATAGATAACATAGAAGCAATACCCTGAGTCGTTAGTCCAGCAGAGGCTCGCAGGCAAATTACTCAGTTTAGACATGATAATACAGTACATAGAAAAGTTAACGTATTAGCTCTTTTAAAGAAAGATTGGTGAAGAAGTGAGTATAATACATCTGTCTTAGCTGCTGCTAAGCTCCGAAACAAATGAAAATCAAACATATTTGCATAATTTAAAGCCCAAACATGGAACGAAGCAACACGTATCAAAAGAATTGTATTTTTTGTTGAGTAAATACAACAATAAAAATATTCTGAAACGCCATTAAGGCACTCCCAAGCATAGTTTTAATTTTCCTGTACTCATTTGTTCAGCTTTGCCGGAACATGGCTTAGCGATGACATTGATGATTTATTGTAACCTTTTCACTGGACAGAATTAAGTATAGCTGGGTATTAATAGATATCAGCAGTGAATGAGTCAAAACTTGTTTTTATGTATGGAAAACGAAGAGTTATCATATAGCATAGAAGCAAAAAAAAAAAAAATAATAATAATAGTTATAATAATAAAGGATTCGAAGATTAACATTTCTTAACATTTCTTGTGCCTTTCCACTACAGGTCAGAAGTATTACAAACGACCACGAAACGGACCTATCACTCTTTGTCGTCGCGAGCTTACGCACAATCATCCCTCATCGAACCCATCCACTCTGATTTAAGGTCTGTAATATTTATTCATCTTCTAGCGGGTAATCTTGGCCTTTCTGCCTCGCATAAACTTAACACCTCAAATACGTCTATCTCAGTTAAGCCGTATTTGTACAAAAAAAAAGCAGGGTTTGAAATTACTTTCCAAAATATAGCAGCATCAAAAACATCTAGTCGTTACCATAGTTTGCACGCAATCTAAGCCTTTTTTCGATTTAGAAAATTCAGTTTTGGTCAGAAATTTGGTCAGAAATTCAGTCATTAATCGTCTTTGGATAGCCGTAAAAGCTATTTTTAACGCACTCGGGAATACATGAAACACTTACTTAGGCTTCTGCAGCTGGAAACTTGGTTGATTGTTTGGACATTTGTCTGGAAACGAGGCTGCTTGGGCAATATACAATCAAAGCGACGGTATAACATCGCTCGCTTCTTCTCAGATTTGGGGTACGTTCCAATGGGATGATCCGGATCAGGATCAATGATACGAGATCACTCGGATCATGAGCATTAATTAAAGGAACCGACGAATCCACTCTGGGAAAGGATCCATCGGTTCACTTTATCATTTTCCATGATCCGGCCGAGTGATCTTAGATCACTGATTCTGATATGAATCATCCCAAAGGAACCCAACCTTGGTCAACGCCGGATGGTTATAAAGAATAAGCCGGAGGATTCAGTTTGAGCCAATCAGACGAAACAGCGGAATATTTTGAATGAAAGATATTAGGCAATAACCCATCGAATCGATTCGTGCGTTGGCCAGTGACTTGGTCAACTAAGGGCCTGTTTACATGGAGTGGGAGACCCCGGTCTAGTGGGGTTGGTTTCTTTTGTTTTTACGCTCTGGGGGACACAAAACAAAAGAAACCTACCCCACTAGACTGGGGTCCCCCACTCCATGTAAACAGGGTCTAAGAGGCTGGCACAAGAATGAAATCGACACATTTTAAGAGTATTGCAATTTCATGCCACAAATTTTATTAGCTCATCATACTTATAGAATTAATACACTTGAATAAGCCATAGTTCATTAAATCCGTTGTCGTTGACATTATAAATTCCTGGTTGGCTGCGTCAACCTGTACAAACAAAGATAATATGATTTTCAAGAATCACAGTAATACTTGAAAAGTATTAACTAATACGACACTGTATGTTAAGTTAACCTTACACACGGTCAATTTGAGAACAATTAACGAAATATTTTAGCCTAAATTAATTACAAAATAAGAATTTTACCAATTCATTCATTCATTCATTCATTCATTCATTCATTCATTCATTCATTCATTCATTCATTCATTCATTCATTCATTCATTCATTCATTCATTCATTCATTCATTCATTCATTCATTCATTCATTCATTCATTCATTCATTCATTCATTCATTCATTCATTCATTCATTCATTCATTCATTCTGTCATTCATTCGTTGGTTCATTCATCCAACCATTCACTCATTAACACTCGCAGGCTTACCATTAACGCATTTCTCAGCCGCAAAGGCGGCATTGGAGTTTACATTTCTGTTTTACTAAGTTTGAGAGCTTAAATCCAGGGCGGCAAAAGAATCTCATTCGATTGCATCTATTCTGGGGCCAACTGTTAGAACAACCTGTGGATAAAAGTAAAACTGTCATTACGTAAACGCTATCGGCTACAGGATGAGACCTCAAAAAGTCCATGAATAACTGTAAACCCTTTGCACTTTCGTCATAACTTCGCTCTTGTCTTTAACCGCAACGTAATTAGCTCAGTCGGTAGAGCGCCGACTGCAGAGCGAGAGGTCGTGGGTTACTTCCAGGAGCCGGACCATAACTCGGGGTCTAAAAATAACTGAGAAATGAAGGTTTTTCCTTCGCCGAGTCTCAGCCAATGTCGAGAGTCGAGAATCGAGAGTAACAAGTCGAGAGTCGAGAGTGATATGTCGACAATCTGAAATAATAGATAATTATAATCATGATAATTAATTAATAATAATAAAAATAATTTATGCCATGTTCCCTGATTAATAGTAGTGAGATCATGCACTTTATTTTATAAAGCATAAAATTTCAGAAGTTCCAACACGATTTATTAAAGAAACTAACGAATTCTATCCCACAATAAAGTTCACCGCCGAAATATCAGAGAACGAAATAACTTTCCTTGAAACAATATTTTTCAAAAGAAAGCGATTCACAGAGGAATCCCGTTTTGACATCAAAACCCACTATAAGCCGACTGAAACTTTGCAATATACACACTTTACCTCTTTCCACCGTCCGGGGGCAAAAAGAGGCTTCATTTAAGGCTAAGATTGTTTAGAACAAACTCTTCAAAAACATTTAAAGAGTGCTTGCGAACTTTTAACAACGCCTCGAAGCGTGCGGGTTTCCTAAACAAGATATAGAAAGGTCGTTGTCAGAGGTCTATGGTGGCCTAGAGCTGCCATAGAGATTTTGTTATATTTTCAGCTTTTTCCTTTTATAAGTTAATTGTTTTAGTTATTTCATTTTACTCTAAAAACAATTTAAAATGAAAATGAAAGGAAATCAAAACCTTTCTGAAGTTAATTGAAATTAATCTCAAAGCGAAGTCAATTGAAAGTAAGTGAAATTAAAACAACTTAAAAATTTGTGACTGAGGCGTAAAACTTCCATAGACCAAGACGCCTTGCGGGCTCGACCATGTGACAAGTCAATGTGGCGGACAGGAGAAAGAAATCCTGGGGCCGGGTCCTGGAGCACGTTAAAAAACGAGATGAAAGCAAAGAAGCGTAAAACTGGAGATTATGGCGGTTGGAAGGTCTTCACCGCACGTGCACAGAGATTTTAGATTTCATGTTAAGGGATTTCGATTGCTATGCTTGGAGCATACGAACTTTAGATAGGCGTCTTCGATACTGCACGGACTTCCAAAACATAGACTCAACGTAACTATTTATTTCTCTAATGATATCTCAGATAACTCGTAAACGATGAGTATGTCTTATTTCGGACTTCCGACTTGCCTTTATCAGACTGTCGACATATGACTCTCGACTCTCGACTCTCGACAATTACTCAAACTCCCCTTTCCCGGCAAACGGCTAGAACGTCGCCAGAAGGAGACGCAAAAATAGTGTCCTCAATTAGTATCTAAGTGCTAAATAAATTGACATTCACTCAAATAAAATGCATTTTTCGGGTCAGTGATACGGAACAGTATACTTTTTATGGGTATAGAATGTATCCTAATTTAATATCAGCGTGGAGTCCTGCCAAATTTTAATCGAGAGTCTCGAATTCTCGGCATTAAGAATTGGAGTCTCGGAATCCCGCGCTTGTTATAATTCAGATTTGTTTTAGGATTTGGTACCTATTGGTGTAAGTTATTTTGCTAGCAGCATCTTCTGTAACTGCAACACACGTCCGCCGATTTAATATCCCAGCGAATACCAGCGAGAACTTTTGCACAACCCAAACGTTGTTAAACTCAAATTAAGTAACTTGAAAGAAAGTTAACAGACTGCTCGCAGTCTAACCAGTGGAAAGATTTTAGTTGTCCTATAGAAACTGTAAGTTGTTTCAAAACTCTTTAGCTGTAAGAGATTTGGTCTCCCCCTCTAATCATCTTTAACGGCCTAAGGTCATTTTAAAACAAGGGGTCTTAAGGTTTCTGATGTTAGCCTGCGAAGAGGCTCACTTGTGTGAGTTCGCGGAACATTTTGGCGGCGCAAGACGGCAAAGCCCCCGAACCGCCGTACATAAGAGCTTGCTATCAGATTTAAGGTCTCGCAAAGTCTCCGGCGGCTGATTTATTTTTTCCATAGAATTTCCCCTAGAACAGCGTTGCAGACAAAAGAATGGAATCGTGGCTGAATTTGCTACTTTTTTCCCAAAATTGATCCATCCATGTATCTGTCTCAGTAGTATTGCTATTTAAAGTGATCATTAATTATCAGTTTTACTCAATCTTTTTAGGCAGATTTTTGACGGCTGAATTCGGCCAAACTGCGAGGCCTACCTGCTTTGATTAAAACGCCTGGAAGAGAATAGAATATTATTTGCCAATGGATAAAGCCGTTGTTTGGAAACAACTGGTTCATACCTGAATCCTCTTCTTGTTCAACGGCGTCTTTCACTTCATCCATCAAAGTTGCTGGAAGTGTCAAATCATTTTGAAACATCGATAACCATCACAGGCAATTTTATCTTTAGTTTTATAAGATTTGGCCGCCTCTAGGGAGGGCCCACTGAGGTCTTAAAATTCAGACCCTTTTCATTGCGATTTTTTTAAAATTTGATACCCGGTCAAGAAAAGACATTTTACTTTGGAACCCTGTTATTATAATAAGATAACTCCAGTTTATCTCACTAGGGAAATTCAAGGAAGAAATATAGACTTAACACAAACAGCTGAAAGACAAGCCACCTTTTTAAAACGCTAAAAACTAAAATACATTATGACCCTGTTAACGACGAAAGCCTCTAAATTACCCATCCCTACTTAGTGAGGTACTCGTCCCTGTTTAGGCCATTACAGTGCGACTACTCGAACCGGGGCACTTGGAGGAAAATTACCCAATCTCAACGTTTTTTGAAAACAAACGATTCTTTATTTTTTTGTTTTTGCAAACGGACTAAAAAAATTCAAGGATGAACTATACAACCATTGAAAACTTTAAAACCGTTTGAGCTTACCTGACCCCTCCGGAAACAGTCCTGAAATCTATGAATTTTATTGGTCCGTTGTTTGAGAATCTTTTGTTTGCAAAAAACGTTCTGACTGCATAATCTTCTTCCAAATGCCCCGGTTCGAGTAGATTCTCTTTAAGGGAGTCTTCCCCTCCTCCCCCGTGTGAGGTTTTGGATACACAAAGAAACAAAGATTTAACATTTTCACTGAGGCCCTGAAAGCTATTAACAGGTAAATTATCTATTATCTAGGAAATTGTTTGAGTTGCTTGAAACTATAAGTTAGGGATATTTTGGAGGACACATGTTGAAAAGTCCGTTTTTCCTTGCTGAGCAAACTGAAACCGCCTGGAAGCAAAGGGTATGTACCAGGAAGCTGTAATATACGTTCGCAGTTTTGTAACTACTTACTTCTTTGTATTTACTTCTTAATTCTTCCTCCTCGTAAACTACTTTGTGTTTTCATCAGCTTGCCCCGATTAGCTTATAGTATTGTTGCGAGCCGCGGATGTTGAAATATGTCGTCATGTCAATTCAATTTCAAGTTTTACTTTTAGAAACCAATCAATATACATGTAAATAAGAAAAAATCAACGTAAAATGGTAGCTCGACTGGATTTTTTAAATCGATTTTTAAGGGGAACGCTTCAAAGTTCAGAGTAAACATAGCTCTATTATATGTATAACGATGGAAAATTGTTATGATCCAAATATCGACGGTCCTTTTGAACGCAAATTTTTTTGCTTAAGTTGTGCATCTGATTATGAAACTTGAAAATAGTGCTAGTGAACTGAACTATGCGGACGCTCACTTGTAAACACAGACTCTAGCTAGGGGGAAGGGGGGTGGGGGGTAATTTGTGACTTTGGAAGGCTTTATAAATTAAAAATTATCAAGTGATTAATTACCGCGAAATTTGTAGGCGTGGACCAATCAATTTGCGAATAAAATGGTAAAAAAAGCAGTCGAACGCAGGCTAATCAAATTTTTAATTCTTCTTTCTCGCTGATCGGCCAAAGCAGTCCCTCTCTTTTTTTTCGTACACGGTTTCAAATGGAATCAAACTGCTATGAGATGAAACTGCATTTCCAGACTTCATAACTTTCTTCAGATACTAGCCAATCGTGTCGATAGCATGCATGTTTAATCACTATTTTTTTTCGTTTGAAAATATTTCAAAAACGCATTGTATAGAAAGTATTCAAACTTTGCCATAATTGAGGCAGCCACCTGGTATCGAGAAAGACAAAAGCAAGTAAAACACCAAACTGCGTCATTACGTTGCCAGACAACTTCGATGTCAATAACACATTTCCATCTTTATACATAATATAGCTGTGGGAAACATTTCCCGATGTCTTTGTTAATGCCAATGTTGTAAATGCTCAAACTTGGGAGATATCCCCTCTAAAAAGTCGAGCCATCTTAACATGTTTTACCTATACTTAGTAAAATTGTATGAAACAGAACCCTGATTTACGGTACACACTTCACCACATTGGGCTTCTTCTGGGCATGGACAGGAATCACGTTGTCTCGATTATGCTGAACGAAGAAATTGATTAATAAAACGGTCAGCAGTGGGTATACTGCTTCCGGCGAATCAAGACAAAAATGAAGATTATGTTCATTTACCTGACTGATAAAAATTTCTCAAAGGTCAAAAATAAACAGTAAAACCATGAGTATAAAGCAATCCGTGGTCGGATCTCTAAAATAAATGTGGATCAGTAACAAAGACAGAATTGACGGCGAACTCATGGCGAACGGAGACGAATAATCAGAGTATGTGCCGAATTTTTCGGTTTGAAACACAAACCGTTGTCTTTGTGTTTCAAAGAAAACTAATTGGCCACAATTGTATTAATTTTCCCCTATTTTTTCGACTTCCCCGTGAGTGATCAGTTTACTGTTGTTTCTTCAGTGATCTTGCAAAACAATGCTTACATAATTAACCTACCATAAGCTTCATCGAATTCCTCAAGAAGGGAGGCGTACGAGGCTGTCACCAGAATTGCAACCAATAACAGGAAAACGAACTTGGAATTCATTATCGGTAGACAGAAAAAACGTAGCGGCCTTGATTATCTTCAACAGTTGACCGACAACAAATTGTAAGCCGCTCAGTTTTATTTGGAAGGTATACGGTTTTTAGCTCCATATGGTTCCATCTGTTTTCATGTTGCGGGTTACCCCCGTAAATCTCTCACTGGATAATAAGCAACTTTCCCATGCTCTGGTATTTGCCTTGAAAACCAGATCATTTAAACAAGAGACAAAAGATCAGATTAGTTCATTTTCGCACTAAACACTGAATGTTGTTCGAAAAATTCTGCTCTCGGTTTCATGTTTATCAACAGTTAACCGTGAGCAGAATATATATCCGAAATTCCGAAAATTCATTTTGTACAGGAACAAAAAAAAAAAAAAACCGAAGCAAAAGCAAAAAAAAAAAAAAAAACCCAAAAACTTCTAAACAAAATAATTGCCAAAGAAGTGTTCGGAAAATGGTCGTGAGATTTAAGAGTTAACTGATTAATAGATTTTCACATTTGACTCTGGTTTATTTTGATTAAGGAGATAATACCACAATTTTAATCACAAAAAAATGAGAGTAATTGTAAAACAAAAAATTTTTAGAAACATGCTTCCTCTAATATGATTTATTTTTAACGAACGTTATAACAACGTTTTACCTGAAGATTCTATTGGTTTTGTTATTTTCTTTGTGCCCGCAAGAAAGGAAATAAACACTATCACTATCACTATCACTCCGCTATGAACAGGTGTTTCAACTCGTGCAATCGCTCAAATGTTAGGCAAATCTTCTTCTGAGTTTAAATCGCTAAGAAACGCCACCAATTATTATTATGAGGGGATAAGATGGCGGCTTACTTTGAGAAAGCAATCTCTACAAAACATCATACCATCTCGGACAGAGAAAATTAAAGATTATCCTAAAACTTCGTAGTCCTAGCATAAGGATTAATGTAACAAAAAAGATTTATCATTGGCTGGAAAAGAGTTGAACCTTGAAAAGCTAGACCAGGAGGGAGGAGGCGTCTCTGTTGTTTTCAGATCTTTTCATGTCTTTAATGGGCGCGATCCATTCAACCAAAATTCCAACCGGTCCGACCGGGAAAAGTGGTCCATCTCAAAAGGTGGACCCGTTTTTCCGAAACTTTTCATGTTGGACCGAAATTTCCGGAAATTTTGGTTGAATGGATCGCGCCCTGATCGCGCCTAATATTTAATTTTCCGCGCGCTAAGGCCATGTGATCAAGATTCTCCAATCAGCATATGGAAACCAGTCTACCTCTTTCGAACCTTCTTGTACGCATAATGGCGGATGGTGAGCAATGAGCAATAGAGGGAGATTCAACTCCGTGTTCATTCGTTTATTTGAGAGGAAAACACACCTTTCTGGAGACAAAGGCACATAAGAATACCTGACCATTTATACGGTTGATTGAAGTTAAAGAAAGAGCCAGAGTTTTCGAGGAACAAGCAAGAATTCAATCATCGGAGAGCGATGCACGTGAAGAAGAGGTTCTGGCGTGAAAACACGATGTAAGTTTTAGTAGACTTGCTACTGTATATTTTTAGACTATAACTGTAAGCTTAAATGGGCGTGCTTTCTCGTTTTTATTTTTTATTTCTACTCAAGCTTAATATACATAATATACCTTGCCTGCGAGAGCATCCGGTTTTTCAGAAGCGACGAAGGCAAATACGTCTGCGGTTCGCTAGCCTGTACACAGGCGACCCAAGCTCATTACATGAACACGGTCGTGACTCTTGCTTGCGAGCGATGTTGTGGTACAAACGGTTATTTACAAAGGCTTGTATGCTATGTAAACGGTTTTTCTTAAAAGAGAGAAAAAATGTTATGTTTTTAAATAAAATCGACGTACCTTATTGCCTTGTTGTACTCTTTGTTGTTTGCCTGCGTCTCAGGCCGTTTTGAGGCGTTTTCGGCGAGTTAGCGTTGTTTTGGTGTTCCACTGCTAAGAGAAAGACAAGACAGAACAGTGATTCCCGGAGTATCCGTTGCTCGAGGTGAATAATTCTGCTTGAAAATTATCCCCACCCTTAATTCCTCCAGAAATTCAAAGAAGAGATGTTGCAGTTCCATGTCCTTTCACTCGATTCGCAATTCCTCCCACAGATCGTTCACTAGCGATGCTTTCATCTCTTGCTTTATCGGCTTCCAAATTGCTAATTAGGCTCGTCCAAACTGCCGTAGACCCGTTCACTAATCGCATAGTATATCAGGTAACTAAAATAAGCCCGGCGAGGGTAGCCAATGACCTGCTGTCGACAAACAAACCCATTAGCTCCCCAAGTCCCCTTGAGTTTTCGTTTTATTTTTGAATTTGTAAACACATTTCCAGTTGATTTTAATTGGTTCATAGAAACAATGCGGTCTTGACAAAACCTCTTGAGGGGACCCTGGGAGCTAATGAGTTTGTTTGTCAACTGCAGGCCGTTGGCTACCCTGGCCAGGCTTATTTTAGTTACACGACATACTATGCGATTGGTGAAAGGGTCCATGGCAGTTTGGATGAGCCTAGTTAGAAATTCAGAAGCCGATCGAGCAAGAGATAAAAGCATAGCTAGTGAACGATCTGTGGGAGGAATTGCGAATCGAGTGAATGGACATGGAACTCCAACATCTCTGCTTTGAATTTCTGGAGGAATTGAGGTCGGGGGTAATTTTCCAGTGGAATTATTCGCCTCAAGTGACGTACTCTACAGGAATCACTGTTCTGCCTTGTCTTTCTCTTAGCAGTGGAACACCAAAATAGCGCTAACTTGCCAAAAACACCTCAAAATGGCCTGAGACATGGATAAACAACAAAGAATACAACAAGGCAATAAGGTACGTTGACTTTATTTAAAAACATAACCTTTTTTCTCTCTTGCAAAACTGTTTACATCCCTTTCAAGCCTTTGTAAATACATGTATGCATTTATAACACATCACCACTAGCAAGCAAGAGTCCTGTCCATGTTCATGTAATGAGCTTGGGCCACCTGTGGCCTGTACACAGACGTTGTTTAATTTTTCTCATTGCTCTTTTTGAAAACATCGACGAGCTTGCGAGAATGAGCGCAGCACGCGAGTAAGAAAAATAAAGAACGTTTGTAGACATCTTTGGGAGAAAAGAGGTTTATTAAGTCCCTCCCCCATTTCAACGCCTCATCATTATCACCTCCACGCTCGCCGTACCAATTTAATTGGACTAATGGAACTGGAGATATAAATTGTTTGTGTATTTGGCTTAGGTATTTTACAATCAAACAACAATGACACTTGGAGTTGAGTATTTGTTGAAGGCAGTCTTCTTAGGCCCTCCTTAGACTGCTTCTATGCCGAAAAAGCCGGCTAAAAGAGTACCGAGACCGAAAAAATTGGCACATCTGATTATTTAAGGTAGGATATGTGGGTGCTTTGTATACAGCAATAGTACTGGGCAATCATCCCGTTCGCATAAAGCTACAGGGAATCTTTTTAGAGAGTGTTCGTCAAGGTGTAACAAAACGAAAGATCTTGGTTTTACCGTTTCGCAAACAGAAGATCAGTCAAGTAGGGTTTGTTCGCCTTGCAGTACTCAGGTTAGAAGCACCCGAGCTGGATTTTTTTATTAAAGCCAGCTTTCAAGAAAGCGAGCACGACGATGATAGCTTTCAGTTTAAAAAAAAAAACAGAATGTCCTCATCACCTCTTGGTTCTGCGGCAAGGTAATGCAATGGCTGAGATGCCAGCTTCTCTTAATTGCTTCAACTTGATCATTGATAATACCTCATAATGGTGATGCAACTACAGTTTTGTGTTCTTTTCTCTTCGTTTGAGTTTCACTGCCACGAACAACTGCTAAATTAAACTTTTCCCCAAACCCATGGGAATAACCGCCATGATATTCTTTTGCTCCAGTAAACCCAAAACAGCCTGGCGCTGCTCCTCTTTAAGCACGTATTTGCTCGAAAATTGTGCCAAACAGTCGTCAAGCACGCTTTCCATAGTCTACACTCCAATACAAAAGATAATTATAGTCAACATGGTCAACACAAGCTTGTAGTATGATTCCATCCCAAGTTCACAAGTTGGCGGTGCTTTTGATCAATGTTATTTTTTTATGCAAATTGCAATAGCAAGTGTTGCGGTTAGCTCATCCAGGCAATGACAAATGCTTCTACTCACATGATGCGAGCATGATGAGTCGTTGACATGATGGTGACAGGATAATGGCCGTCCAGCCAATGGTATTTTTTGCTTTTCCTGAGAAAACCAAGTTTCAGTTGCTCCCAAAGATGTCTACAGACTATCTATTTTCTTCTTCCCCCTCCACTACTCCTTTGCAGTGATGGTCAATAAATCCCCTGCAGTTTACATTTTATCACCTGCGCTTGACGGACTTTGAAGAGAAAATAGAGTGTCTGTGAACAGGCTAGCGGTTTGCAGGCTACAGCTGTAACATATACTAATAAGCACTCTAAATTCGACGTTTCTTCTTTTAAGAAAAAAACAAGTCATAGAATAAGATTTTGCTCTCGAAAATTCAAACTGCCTTTTTTTATGTCCTATGATTTGTTTTAAATTTTCTGGTAAAATAAGAAAACTTTTTCATAAAATGAGAGATTCAGAGCAATCTTGAATTTAGAGTGAAGTCCTTTGACTTGACTTTCAAGTTCCTGATGAAAGTATACCACAGGGTAGCCTCTCATGCAGGCGTTTTTAGGGGAGCTTGTTTTTCATCCCTCCCCACAAACGCCTGCTCAACCGTTTGTGGGGAGGGACAAAAAACAAGCTCCCCTAAAAACGCCTGTGTGGGAGGCTAACCACAGGGAAGCCAAATTCGGTGTATGAATAATAATAATAACTAGGATAATTATGTTTGTTAGGTGTACAGGTACCAGTTGAGGGGGAACGGTGGATGGTTATTGCAATACATTAATTTGATCATGGCATATTTTAAATGTAAGGATTGCTTACAGCAAAACCTCTATTTAAACTGTGTATCATTATGAAAAAGTCTTGAAGGCTAGTGATATCGTATGGTTCGTCTCAACAAGTGCAGTAATTTGGTTGAGTGTGTTGATTTCAGTGACTTGAGTACAGCTATTGTGGGCTGTTTATAAGTTTTTCCGAATAAATAACACAGACCTAAAAATGTTCATTTGTCTGGTGCCGAAAGTATCACAAGTCATGATGAAATGGCTATGGCACCTCCGAGCTTTACATCTCGGATATTTACTTTGTGGCACAACAACTGCCAAGTTACACAACTTGGTAGATTTACTTTGTGGCACAACGGCTGCCAAAACTTTTGAAAGATGAACGCTTTGAAATATTTAGCAAACACAGATCAATCGTAGACCTTCAGCAAACTCTTGAAATATGTACGCTTTAAGAAGATTCAGCAAACTTGTAAAAGATGAATGCTTCACAAAGACAGAATAGCAGACCTCAGCGTTTGGAAGATGAACGTCGAGGACCCACGAGTCAGCATGTGAATTATTGCATCAAAGTGAGGCAAAACATAAGCAAGCACCTCAAAGTACTTAATAATTGCATGGGACACCCAATAATGCACAAAACACCCAACAGAAATTAGGGGTGGCGTTCTCATACCTCAAACGCAGTAACTAGTGGTTCCATATTGAAGTGAAGTGCTGCCCCATGTAGAGAGATAAAAGGCTTGGACAGGTAGTAATTAATAATAATTTGGGTTCCTTAGCAGTGCTCGAACTTAACAGTCAGTCACTCATCTTCCCCACTAGTCCTCTGGACAAGTAAAGTCATCACTCTCTGAGAAATACATGTAATTTTTTCTGTGTCGTACCAAAAAGTGCTAAAAGGGCCTTGAAACAAAGAATTGCCAAAGACAAACCTTTTAAAAAATGAACAGGTGAAAATGCTGAATAAAAGTCTGGGCTCTTTTCAAGAAACAAAATGCCAAAGTATGTTGAAACGGAAACAAGTGAAAGGCCCACTGTACTCTTTCTTTGGAGGAAAGCAATCATCAGATGATAAAGAAATTAACACAGAATCTGAAACACCTGCTTCGACCAAAAAAACATGCAAGTTTCCACGGAAGGAAAATACAAATGGCTGAGCTTTGAAGGAAGGGGAAACAAAATGTTCTGAGAGTTTTGTAGAGAATTCCCGAAAAGGGAAAACTTGCAATACTCGTGAGGATCGGATCAAATAATTTCTAAACAGACAGCCTGAAAGCACATACATGTATCATGGGGCCAGCGAAGGACATGCTTTGACCAACATTCAAGAAAATGGAATTTTTTTTTAACACAGCATATTACATGTATATTGTATATTCAAAACTTGTTTTTTATCCTCCCACAGTTGTGTTCATTGCAAAGAAAGAATGGTTTGTCCCTTAGAAACACATACGTGTACATGAATAATCACACATGTAAAGAGTTTTCTGAACATTATCTCTCATACCGTCAAGTTAGATCTCGTGGATTACTATCTATTATGGCTGACAGAGCAACAGATGTCTCATGTTCAGAGTTCAGAAATTGTATGTGCAGGGTTCAAAATGACAACACTACAGTTGCAAAAAGAAAGCCTGCAAAAAAAAACTGTAAAAGTTGCATCTATAACTACGATGACCTAGTTTCATATAATTCTAATTCACCCCACAGTTCACATAATAACGATCTGCTCCCAGTTGGCTTGTTAGCTCAATTTGTATGAGTGTTGCACCGGTATCGCAGAGGTCAAGGGTTCGAATCCTGTACAAGCCCAAATTCTTTCTGTCTTTCTTTTTGCCACTGCAAAAGGTGCGTCTATAACTGCGGAGTGTGATTCTACTTTCATATAATTCTTCACCCCACAGTTCAAATTTATGATTTTCATATTTTCATGACTGTATTATAATGTTATTACAATTCCTTAGAGACTAGTTCTGTGCTCAAAAGGAGGTGAAAAGAAAGACATGGCATTGTGGAGGGATTTAATAAAGGGCATCCAACACCAAGTGATGCCATTAGTTGTGGAGTGTATATCGTACATGTAAAGGTGGGTTCAGAAGTAGACTGGGATAACAGCTGACACTTTGCAATGCAACCACTGGTTTCCCCATGAAATGACATCTAAGTGAATGTTGAAATTCCATACTGATGATGCATCAGTACCCGGATCTCAATAGTACTTCTTATCGGCTGACGTAAATTTACCACCCAGTACGACCAATCAGAAGCATGACCCAGATCTGGGTAGTGACACGTCACATATCAGTGGTGGTGTTACAAAATGTCAGCTGCTTTCTCAGTCTAGTTCAGAAAATTAAATTATAGATTTTTATAATTGTATCTGCTTCATAGTTAAAATCTTACTTTCGGTGCTGTTTTCACTTTTATTTTAGAGTGCTGAAATGTATTGCCATAAAAAAAAAATGACTAATGGAAGATTTGAAAGTGTTGTTTTGTCTTTGCTGCAGATGGTGGCTCATGACCTTACCAATATTCTGCATAAGAATTGAGGCCCTAAGTCGGGGTCACTAAAATTAGAAAATAATAATTCTTAAGTGAAGTCCATAAGTAGTAAGTTTAATGAGAGGGTAGCTCAACAGACAAAACATAACTACCTAGCCTGTAGACTATAGGATATAGACTGCAGAATAAACATAAAATTATTTCTTAGATGACCTCGATAGCAGGTAAAAACAAGATCTTGTACAATATAATTTAAACCTATCAACAACACATATGAGCATCAGGAATGCTGCCTGAAGAAGATGGAGTCACAAGACAAGTAGCACAGCCAAATGTATAGGGAATCCATGACAACCCTGTGAGCAGCAGCCACCACTCAAAATCAGAGGAGACTGAAAATGTGGTTACCACATACTTATGGAGAACCATAATCCTGTGAAATCTAAGAATTTTCTTGTTAAAGGCATTCATCTTTTCAGTTTTATGTGCACCATAAAAGTGCCATAGGCTTTGAGGAAATAATACGGAGAAATAGTCAATGTTTGTTCAAAGTTCATATCCATGTTTTGTCTCATTTTTGTTTCACCAGTGACTTTTAAGTAAGAGAATTTGTGACGTTCATTGATGACAGGGGATGTTCCCTTTAAGGTAAGTTTGGAATAACACAATCATTTATATATCACTTCAAAGCTAAGTACTCAAATACTTTTTATTTAGCTGAACATTATATTCCATCATTACAAGTGATCTAGTTTGGCCACTGAAATGCCTATGAGGACCAGTGCTAAGGAACAACAGAAGTTGAATAAGTCCTTGTTAAAAGATCTATTGTACTTCAATTTCAGAGGTAACTTAGTCCTTGACTATGGCTAATTTAATAATTCACTTGACAGTGAGTTCCCGACTAGATGAGATCTAGCCAGAAACAGGGCTTTCATTTTCATGATATTAATTTTAGTGGGAAGGTGATAGCAGGACAAATGACCATTAACAGACAATATTGTAACACCACAGACCAGTGATTTGGTTGTCATTAACCAGCCACTTGATGGTATGGCAGTTGGATATAAAACTGTAAATGTTTAAATCTAGGAGTCATTTGATAAGTAGGTGGAGCATGATTGCCTGCAGGGTGAACATACAGCTGCTGTAGTCCTGAATAGGACTGTTGTTGACAGTGACTGACATTTCTGCACCCTTTGTGGTAGTTATTTTCAGAGAAAATAATATCAATGGACATGATACATTAACTCACTTTGACTCTGGTTATTGACCTGACTGGTCAATTAAGTTGCAAATTATGTTATTGGTCGTCTGTCACTTGACAGTTAGGCCATGATGTTATTGGCTATGAAGACTTGAATTAATATTATTCATTTTGTACAGTTTGTTTATTGTTCGTCAAACTACATGTGTATCGGTTGTCCAGTCAACCCTTTCTCTTGTAGTTAGTTTTGCTTGAGTTCATCAATAAGTCGTTTGTACGGTACCAGTAACTGTTGACTACATTGTACGATTCAGGAGCATGAGTCCCAGTGGATTTGATGTTTGGTCTGAAAAGGGTACATTAAAAAAAAGGGATTGTGTTATTGAAATTTGTTTGTTTTGTTTTCCCAAGTACTTTTTAATACTATTATGTCAAACTAGAATGTGTTACTGACAAGTTTGCAAATTCATCACTAACAAATATTTCTCCTGTGTATTCAAAGGCTCAAACAGTCAAGATTAACTTTCCTTACAAAGGGAAGTCTATAGCACACTGTTTTGATTTTCTTCAACTAATTTTGTTCTTTGGGTTCATTTCCAGTGTGTGAATTGCGTGACACTCTAGAGGACTCTGGGAAGATTTTTTCAGTCTTGAGAGTCAAAATCAAGTCTGCCTTCTTTTAGAGATTAGTTGGAGGTTAGTCTTAAGCTCATTCCAATTGGAAATTACCTTTTTTCTTTAACGGTGGCTTATTTTAGTGAAAAAAGCACTTTATTTGAGTGTCAATGTATTTAGCACGAAAGTGCTAATTGGGGACACTATTATTTTCTTTGTCTCCTGCTGGAGACGGGACCACCATTATTTTGACGTGGTAATCAGAGCCACACGAAGCTATTTGCAGGGCAAAGGCAGTACCTTCATTTCTCAGTCATGTTAAGACTCTGAGTGTTGGTGTGGCCCCAGGAATGGAACCTGTGGCCTCCCACTCTGTAGTCAAGCACTCTTACCGACTGAGATAATCCTGCTGTGGTTTAGTAATACAATTCATTTTATTTCAGAGGGAATTGCAATGTGAATTAATTGGTGAAATGGATCAAAAAAGGTGAGTTACTGTGTATAGGGCTATTTTCATAATACCGGAAAGACTTTCATTCTGGAATGAGTCCATAATTATTAGTTTTGTTTACAAGATACTGAACAACATTCCATTCTTGTGTACAAGTAATTGCACTTTGCACTAATGATGTCACAAATTTCTGGTCCCTGCTGTAACTTAGACATTGAACCATTGAACCTGATCAGTATAAGAGTTTTGTATGGGAAAGTCACATTCGCCAACAATTTTCGTTGTCTTTGAAGATTTTTATTGTTAAAAGAAACAAAATTCAACTTGGTTTCAATAACATATATCTAAGGTGACAAAACCTATTTTAAGTAATATTGCAAAGCGCTATTCCGCAATGAGTTCATTCTACTTTCCAATGACAAATGAAATTCTTGTTGTGGTACAAGTTAGCTCACAAAGCATTTTTTCTTTATGGTATTATTTTTGCAGTTCTGTTTATTGTTTTTCACAGTATGCGTTTCTTTTTAGGTTCTGCTTTGTGGTTAGCCGTGTATTATCTACAGGTGTAGCTCTGTAATTTCTCCACTGTTACACCCTTAACCCATTTGCTCCTGGAGATTTTGATTTTTGAAGCTAGTCGAGTGGTTTTCTGGTCACTGTCGTGCTATAAAGAGCTAACACTTACCACAAACCGGTTTACAGGTCGTACACTTCGCAGCCTTCTGATCCAGATGCAAAATATCAGCTTGCGAAGTTCGGGCATGCGTAGAAAGCAAAATTTTGAGATAGTTTTTGGGTTTAAAAGTGACACAGCAGTCTTGACTTGTACTTTTCGCTTTCTCTCCTCCCGTCTTTTTTCGCTTTTCTTGCCTCATTTTTTTTTTTCTCTTGCTGGGCATTTAGTAGGCTTCACTTTGGTGGGAAGAGTTTTTAGGAAAGCTTTTAGGATCTTAGGATTAGGTGAAAGGAAAGGTAGGTGGGTAATGGAACAAGATTTTCATGGAGATTTTCAGGTCATTGTCACGTGGTTTTTTGCTTCTTTCTCCGGTGTCCTCGACTCAATTGTGCTCATTCTGGTATGGTTTGAAAGAGCTCTTCACTCTGCACAAGTTAGCGAAGAAAGTTGTCCTTGACCGTTAAACCTGATGACGTCACAAAGGGTAGAAAGGACCTGGATGCGCACGGGCGGTTACGGGCGGTTCAGGGGCGAATGGGTTAAACAGGAAAGAAATTAATTGATTTTACCATTGCTGTACATGGCAGTTATCCATGAAGCACTCTATTTGTTTCCTCCTATTGTGATAACAGAATATATATGTATTCTGTGGTAAAGCGATAATAGCATTTTACAAACAGGTGTATTGCCAACAGGAAGGTTTCACTGTTTTGTGGCTTACCCACATGTAGCTATACTGTAGCTGTCTAGTTGTATCGTTTATAATATGATGCACACAGTTTGTTTTCAGCACCTTATAAATATGCCTGCATTGTAGAGTTTCCATGCATTAGCACAGTTCCAGTAGCCACATTCACTAGTCCAGCCCGTAGGACATAGCTTTGTAGACTAGAGTTTTGCACTCGCTGGAGTGGCGCTATTGCCCTTTTCTTCCCCTTTTCCTCTCTCTTTCCTTTCGGTTTCCTTGTTTTCTTTTTTTATTATAGTTCTTCATATTTATTACATTATTTTATTTCTACTATTTTAATGCAAATTACATGAATATTACTAAAAAAAGTAAATGCAAA